ACATGCATAACGCATGAGAGGATACAAAAATTGAATTCGTACAGGAAAATCAATGCAAACACCAAGGTGATAAAAAAGCAGCTTCAAAACTGAACAGGGCAACACTTGTCAGAAGATATGCAGATGATGTCTTCGCGCTTGTTGACAACAACAAGGAAGCTGGAGATTTGCGGTTTACAATGAATAGTCTGCATCCCAAGATCAAATTTACGATGGAACAAGACCTGGATAACAAACTTTTCTTCTTAGACTTTCAAGATTTCATGCGAGGGGCAGTACTTGCATTATCTGACCTTTGTCTCCATACAATGGGAACGTAGCTTGGCATACATTCCCTTCCAAAGGACAAGAAACTTCTGCTCTCTGAAGACATTGGATGCAGAAATCGCCTGCCTCAAGGATACTTTACGAGACACGGTGAAAAGAGGGCTTCGGAGATTACACCATTGTTATTCCTAAGTGCTTTTGTTTGGAATCACAATCTACCGCAATCTGTCCTGCATGTGAATCACCCCGAAAGTTCTGCGCCATGTTAATTATAAACCAATTTCTGGACTTCATTCAGCCTTTTAAGTGTCTACTCTGCCCCTCTTCCATGCTAGTATGTAAAAAATGAGAGCACTTATGGGTGTCGTTCGGGCACTAACACCTCGTATATTGCGCTACCCGGAGGTGGCCCATATACGGTGGTTTGAACCTGACTGCTGTAAACACTTGGAGCACGTAGTGAACCCAACGTTGCCTTGGTAACATCCAGCTCTCCGATTTACGCATTTCCCTGCCCCTCTCTTTTCCTTAAACGTTCTGCCCCACTTTTGCCTCTCACGGTGTATTCTTACTTGTTTACTTGCTTATTAATTAGCCTATGTGGCAATTAGATATTACCTTCCTGTTTGCATAGATTTTTCCATACGAATTCAACTTTTGTATTATAACATACCTTATTCGTGTTATGCAGCGAGAGGCTGCAGCTAAAGAACCCTCGAAAAATGTATTGGTTCCATCAAATTCTACAGTTCTTGTATGTTTCAACTTTGCGCCAAGAAAAGCATGCTTTAAAAATGGGAAGTAACATATTCACATGTACACATTATTTTTGTGACAGTGGGACTTAAGCCTAGTCATCCTGAATATCGGAGATGAAACCGTCAACTAGTAGATGGCTGTAGGTGTGAGCAAAGCGCTGGTATGTTATAACAGGGCTTTCCTGTGCAGATGAACGGTATTTGTCGAGTAAATATGTGTCAAGACCCCCCCCTCATTCCCCCTGCCCTGACAACAGTTCTATTTTTCTACCAACCCGCATTTCTTATTTACTTAATTACCATATAAATGTAAAGGCCTGATGAGAATTATCGAAAAAAACGTATGTTCATCATTTCATCTTCTGACATTTTCAGGGGGAATTTTCGCAAATTCAAAAATATAATTTAATAGAAAAGATTCTTTGAGAAACGTGAACGAACTTTATTTCACATTTTCGACGCTGGCACACCAGGTCGTCGTCAGACGTGAAGGAAATGTGTAAAGAGCAGGGCGCATTTTTAAACATGCCAAAAAATCGATCCTGATTTTTCATGCTTGGTCAGTAGTAGGTTTTGGTGGTAGGCGCTTTTTCCTTGCTTCTTGAGCTTGATGTACATTGAATCCAAATCAACGTGCCTATTGATGTATGATTCGTTAGAGTTAATGGCCTCTAAAAATTCGCGGCCTTTCCTATATGGACAGGAACCTACTATGCTGGTTTGGTCCCATGCAAACTTGTGCCCACTTTCAAAAGAATGCATGGCGACTTTGGCCAGGTGATCGCGCCTCTTTACCGCTAATTGATGTTCATGTATGCGTTTAAAGGATGACCTTTCTGTTTGTCCACAGTAAATTGCATCACAGTCGCCGCACGGAATTTTGTAAGCGGCCTCTTTTCTGTCCAAATAGCCAACCCTATCCTTGGGGTGTACAAGCTGATTTCGAAGTGTGGTCGTTGGTTTTTGCGCCACTTGGATCTGGTACTTCCTCAGGTGTCTTTCAACGAGTTCAGACACGTTTTTAATATATGGAAATATTCGCCAACTTCTTGGATTGGGCGCCTGATCGGAACAATCTAGTTCCTTTTCTTTTTGTTTCAACTCTTTTCGTCTCAGGCATCGACGCGCGAACTCTCTGGGGTAACCGTTTTTTGAAAAACATTTGAACAGGTAATTGAGTTCGGCTTCGTAGAGTTCGGGGCTAGAAAAATGCGTTTTCGTTCGATTCATTAGGGTAGTAACAGCACTCCGTTTATGAACAGTAGGGTGGTTGCTCTTGTGGGTAGATTCTGCGCGAGTCTGCCTAAACTCTTGTTTTCTTTCGCGCGAGTTCTCTGTGTTGCTTGTGCTTGCTGTAACCTTCT